GAGTCGAATTACTAAATCATACGGAATTATGAAATCATACAATCTGATGAGGAACCTCCACACTGCTTTATACAATTTTCCAATAATTTTCCTGCATCCTTGTCAGCATTTGTTACATTCAACTTTTTTTAATCTTAGCCATCCCTGGGGAGTGAAATGGCAAGGAGTTTTGGTTGTAATTTTGGTTGTTGTTTTTTCTCAATGTCATTTTGATTTGCATTTCTCTGCTGTCTAATATTATTGAACATCTTGATAAAATGGCTTTTCAAGTCTTACCTGTTATATAATTTGTCTTTTTGTTATTATGAGAATTTTATCTATTTTTTGGTTATTTACATCTTTCTTATTAGACATGGTTTCTGAAGATATTCTCCCAATTGGTAGAAGAAATCATACAGGAAGAGAGTAAGGACAGATATACATAAAACCCTAAAAGGAATAATTACAACCCCTGTACTACAATCCCAGAGGTGCACGGTTCAAATCCACCAGATGCTCTTCTAGAGAAGGAGGAACAATCTCCTCCTGTACCAGTCAGATCTGATTTGACGGTACACACACACAAAATAATAAAATAAAAATAAAAATTACAACCCAAAAATTCTATACACAATAAAACTATCCTCAAATATGATAGAGAAATCAGGGCAATCCCAGATAAACAGAAACTCATGGAATTTATGCAAACTATATTGACCTTGCAAGAAGGCCTAAAGGCAATTCAGTCATTTTCCCCAACAGCAAGAACAGTCAGAAATTAACATAAATAGCATCATCATTAAGAACTGGCCTAGACAGGAATACACAAGTAATAATAAACATTTAAGACTCAACATAGAAAATAAAGATTATCAGTTGTATTAATGACAACTACAGCACAAAAAGAGGGAATAAGTAGTGTGTAGTAAGAACAGTAATAAGAAAAAAACTTTTAAAAGAGGAAGTCCAGGAGATGTGATGATAAAATGAACTAGGTTTAGATGTAGTATTCATTCAGATAGTAACTTATAAGGTAACCTCCACTATAAAGATTTCTCATCAAAATGAAAAAGAGAAAAATCATAGAGATTTAGAGAACACTAAAACAACAGCAGTGAAGGAAATTCTAAAAAGCTATAAATAAAATGAACTTGGTGCAGAAAACTGATGAAACAAATCACCAAAAAAGGATTTTTTTCCTCTGCAGCGCTCAATACTGCATAGCATGGATGACCTAGAGGATGTGATGCGAAATGCAGTAAGTCCGTCACTTTTAGGAAGGACTGTTACTGTATAAAACCACTGGTATCAAGAGTCACGGAAAGGTTTATACACAAAATTAACTCTGGATTGTTATGAGGGATGGGAAGAGAAGGAGAGGGGAATAAAAATTGAAGGGAATTGAAGTGAAGGAAAAGACTATATAATACGTTGATAAGACATTGAAATTAAGTTTTAAAAATGTAGATGAATGATCAGAATTGTAATTCCAGCATTATAAAATTGAAGTGAATACCACATACTTTCCCTCAAATCTTCTGTTTTGCTTGTTTTCATAGCCCTCAAATCTTTCTTAGTTTTATATCAGTTTGCATACAGACTTCATATATATCATTCATGTACTGTTTTACACAATTCTTTATTCTCATTGTGTTTCAAATGATCTTTCATAGTCTGTGCCAACTATTACCCTGTCTTTTCAGGGCCCCACTGGATTGTCCCTAAATCTTTGACGCCACACATCCCCAACCCCCACACCTCCCCTTCCCTTTTTGGACCTTTATACACATCTTACTAATTATCCTTATTGGTTAGCCAACTAAATTTTACAATAACGAGCTGATGCAGTCTTTATAAGACCGAGTTCACTCAGCATAATGCTCTCTAGCCTCTCCCACATTATATAGTATTTTTCAGAATTCCTCCTGAGTGCTGCATAGTATTCCATTGTGTGAATGTACCACAATTTCTCATTCCATTTGTTTGTTAATGGACATTTGAGCTATTTTTATTTTCTTGCTATTGTGATAATGCTGCTACAAATATGAGTGTGCATTTTTTAAAAAAAAATTTTTAATTCCCTTACATGCCAAATTCCTATTTCATCTTGTATGCACTTTTCATTTGGGTCATGTTTGGTTTTTCTTGCATTCCAGGTCAGGGGGGGGTCCTGTAATTGCAAACAGGTGTTAATATAATCGAGCTAAGTTTACAGAGGTATCCATAACTGTAAAAGTGATCTATTTATTTTACTTTTTGTGTGTGGACCGTCAAATCAGATCTGACTGGTACAGAAGGAGATTGCCCCCCATCTGGTGGATTCGAACCACTACCTCTGGGATGGCTTCTTGCCACTAGGCCACCAGAGCCACAAGTGATCTATGTTTAAACTTTGTGCATAGCCTGAACTTTGTATTCATCATGGAAGCGACATCTGTGCAGATTCCGTGACACACTTGAGATAATTTGGTCCTGTTGCCTAGTCATCGGTGGTTTTGCCTGCATTCTCCCCTCCCCACATAATAAATATTGGCTCTTAGTGACTTGCTTTTTTTCCCGTAATAAAAGTAATCTGTACAGCCTTTTAGGCATAGAAAAGACAACCATGTATCCTTTACCTCTGTAGAGCCCCCAAACATATTGTAAAATTTTTTTATTTAAGAAGAAATGAACTACCATGTAAGTCTTCCATAGAATTAGCCTTTGTCCTGAATTTGATTTTTAATGGTTGAATGTGTCTGCAAACTGAGTTAAACAGAAATGGAGGAGTGAGGATCTCAGTGTGACTGAGACATCCCTGCCTCCCCAGGCCATGGAAAGAGAAGTGACGTGGCAAATGCTCTTGTTCCCAAAGCTCTTTTGGGCAAATGAATTCATTTGATCAAACATTTTGAATTGGAAACACATGGATATTGTGTTGCTACTTTTAAGTGACTGGTCGAAAATAAGCTGAAAGAATATGATGTTTCAGAAACCAAGCCTGAAAGGATAGTATTAGACTACATAATTAGCATTTTCTGCCCTTACATTAATATTTGCTTTCAAAATCTAATTATTTTTCTTTTCAATTTCTTCATAACTTAGCCAGTGTTTGTAGGTGACCTACCACAGATTCTTAGAGAAGTGAAGGGCTTTTCTAATTGGCTTTGATCTAATAAGATTAAACTCCTACCATGTGAGAATAAGCTTCTTGTCATTTAGAATGTGCTTTAAAACCAAATCCTGTAAGTCCAAAATATCACAGGTTCTTCCTAAATGCATTCATTGTGTTTTTATCACGAGTTTTGTGTGATTTATTTCTTGGTATATCAAATAGGAACGGTATTTTTCTTTTCTTTAAATGACTGCACTCCTAGCCAGGAGGCAGTTGGTTCCTGTCCACCAGCAGCTCTGTGGGAGAGAGATGAGCTGTCTGCTTGCTGGTCTGAAAGCCCCCAGGGGGTCAGCTATGAGTTGGTTCTAACTCCATGGCAGTGAGGGGGTTGCTTTCTTCATGGATGATATTCTTGAAGCCATCCCACCACTGATCTGCTCTTCAGTCATTAGTGTTCAGTGCTTCAAAATTCAGGTCCTGTTTTAAACTCAAGGTTGTCTTTCAACTGTCATGGGCCTGTTTTCCTCAGCTTCAGTTTGAACTTGCATTGAGTAACTGTTGGTCTATTACAAAGTCAGCCATGGCCTCTTTTGACTGCTGATACTGAGCTTCTACTCCATTTCTTTCCACAAATGTAGTCATTTTGGTTCCTATATATTCCATCGGGCAATATCCATGTGTATAATTGTTATTTATATATTTTTTCTTTTTTAAAAAAATATTTGCAATGAATAAATTGTACAGAATTCTGTCATTCAGTCTCAAGTGTCATTTCTGTCTCCAAGGCCATTTTCTAGCTCTGCTGCTTTGTTTTCCACTTTTGCATTCTAGTCACCACTTAGAAGTTGGTTATTGTTTTGTACAGTCCAGTTGGAACCGACTCATAGTTGAGCCACCAGTGGGTTTTCAAAGGTTGTAAATCGAGGGGAGGAGGTTGCCCATCTTTCTGCCATGGAGCAGCTGGTAGATTTGAACCATGTGTCTTTGTATTGGCAGCTCAGCTCCTTACCACTAAGCCATCAGAGCTCTCTATAAATCCTTGGTTTCTTAATTCTTGGCTTTCCTGTAGACTGTATGTACTTTATATTCATCGTTGCTATTGGGAAGCATTAGGGAAATGGTTTCTTTTTTAAATTTAAATTTATTATTAATTTCAGTAAAACTTCAGAGACTTTAGATTTCCATTCATTCATTGTTGCACATTTCTCCCCTCCCAACCCTGCCCCCCAGAACACTACCCTCTTGGAAAAGTAAAAGAAAAATTCTTTCATTGTTTTACAAACCCTCCCCCAGGTCCACTCCACCATGTAGCCTTCGCTCTAGACTCCTGTCATGACAATAATACCTAATCACATATCCCTTTTAAATAGTTTTCTCCCTCATCTGTTTCAATGCAGCATACATTATTGAAACCATCTTTCTCAGTCTCTCCCCAGTCCCAATGTCAGTCCTGTTTTACAACAGTGGCACCATGCAGTATTTGTCCTTTTGTGACTGGGATACTTCACTCAGCATAATGTGCTCCAGGGTCACCCATTTTGAATAATATTGCATGAGTTCTTTGTTTTTCAGTGCAGCGTAGTATTCCATTATGTGAATGTACCATAGCTTCTCTAGCCATTCGTTTGTTGATGGGCACTTAGGTTGTTTCCAAACCCTTGCTATTGTGAACAAAGCTGCAATAAACATGGGTGTGCATATATCTGCTTGGATGTCAGTTATGGTCACTTTAGGGTATATTCCCAATAGTGGAATTCCTGGGTCAAATGGTATCCCTATTTGCAACTTTTTGAGAAAGTGCCATACTGCCTTCCACAGTGGTTGCACCGAAAATGGTTTATTTTTACTTACTGTTAAAATGTCAGTAAATGAGTCCTTTCATAAAATAGACCTTGTTGAGTGTGTAATCTGATGTCTTTTCTTACAGTATCTGACCAAACAGGTGGAACTTTTACGGCAGATGAATGAACAGCATGCGAAAGTTTATGAGCAGTTAGATGTCACAGCGAGGGAACTGGAAGAAACAAATCAAAAACTAGTTGCTGATAGCAAGGCTTCCCAGCAAAGGATTCTAAGGTAAAACTTCCTAGACTCCATGAAGGACACACTAGGGGGCGGATCTAGAGTGCATTAGAGCAGGATGTGGCAGGCTCGGGTCACTGTGAAGCAGGGTTTAATCCTTATAGAGACTGGAGATCAAATATAAGTGATGCCCAGTTCAGAAAGGCCAGTGGTGTTCGCCGTTAATGGTCTCTCAACCACATTTTGTTCTGTAATATTCACTCCAGTGCCTTACAGTGTAATCATACTCCCTCCCTGTAATTCTGGCTTCCTTTAGAGCTTTTGTTTTCCCTTTCTTTAGTGACACTGTGCTAATCATCCCTTCTATTGTATATTACACTTTATTCACCTATCTTAATATGTAATAATATTTGCTCCCTTTCTTCTCATCCATAAATGATCCTCTTTTCTTTGCCTTTTTAATAGTGAACTTGTACAGTATTTGTCCTTCTGTCACTGACTTCTCTGCTCAGCATACTGTCCTCTAGAGTCACTAATCTCCTCACCTCTTATCTCCTTATCTAATGTGACAAGCAGCAAGTGTCTTCTATTTGTTTCTCACAGCCTGACGGAGACCATTGAATGCCTACAAATCAACATTGATCGCCTGCAGAGCCAAGTGGAGGAGCTGAAGTCATCTGGCCAGGGGAGGAGGAGCCAGGGGAGGTGCGAGCAGCAGAAGTCAGAGCCCAACTTCGCGTGTCTGAAGGAGCTCTACGACCTCCGCCAGTAAGAGCCTGCCGCGCTGTGGCATTTACAGACAGGACGCTTCTCGTATCGTTGACACGTCCTGGATTCCAGCAGTCAAAGTACCCTAAAAACCACCACCTGGTCCTTAAACTGCCAGGGATTTAACAGAAACATTTAACTTAAACAGGCCAGTTAGAGTTTTTGGATATTAGAAAGTCCTGGTGGCAACATGTGTAACATATCAGGCTGAGAGGTTGGTGGTTCAGATCCCTCAGCCTCTCCGTGAGAGGAGGATAGGCCACCTCATCTCATCATGATTTTCAGCCTCAGAAACCCGATGGGGGGCTTCCACCATAGACTGGAATCAACTCAACGGTTGTGGGTTTGGTGGAATAGTAGTATTTAATAATTTCACGAAAACGCATTTCTTAAAGAGGGACTTTAGAGAGAATATATTTCAGTTCTTTTAATTAATTGAATCTTAGTTTTATTTAAAATTAAGGTGAAGCAACTTCTGATATACTTTATAGATTTTTTAAGTTGTCATTTTACATTAGAATGAAGGGGAAATGAAAATTTTAATTAAACAAAAATCTAGGTGAATGATGGGGTTTTTTTTTGCCTGCAGAAATGCCATTTTGATTTAGAGTGATGAGATTGAATGTTTAGGAACTGTTCATTGAGTACGTATTGTATGGTAGGTACAGTGACAGACTTGAGGGATCCCTGGCAAACACGGTGGTTGTCCCTAGAAGCTTTCAGTCCTGGAGAGAGGCAGACAGCAGACAATCAATCACACAGCGAAATGCGGTTGCAAACTGCTCAGACTGTGAGCAGAAGAGAGGCTAGCTCATTTGTTTGGTGGCTCTCAACCTTCGCTGTGTATCTCATCTCCTTTGGGGCTTCTCAAAATGCAAATATCAAAGGCTCCTTGGCCTCAGTCAGAATCTATAGGTTTATGATTGAAAAGACTCCCAGGAGCTTAGCACTAAGTAATGCTTCTCAACCTTGGCTGCATGTTACTCATTACCTGAGAAAGTGTCCAAGCCACGGTTCATCTGGGTCAAAATCTATGAGGGGGCCCCTGCCATCAGAGTCTGAGATTATCCATGTGGTTCAGAACTTTGCTGTTCTAATTCCTTAAGGTAACAGGCCTATAGCTACTGTTAGATGCTGTTGAGTTAAGTACGATATGCATAACAACCCTGTGAACAACACATCTGAACCATGTCCTGTCCTGTGTCGTCCTCACGGTCGCTGACATACTTGCACCCACTGCTGCCATCACTGTGTCGATCCAGCTCGCTGAGGGTCTTCCTCTCCTTTGCTCACCTCTACCTCTCCCAGCATGATGGCCCTGTCCAAGGACCAGTCCCTCCTGACAGCATGCTGAAAGGATGTGAGACGAAGCGCCCACCTGGTCTTTGGAAATTAGTATTCTGGTGCTTTCCTTTATTTATAATTAGTCACAAAGATTATTTTCTTACATTATTGTCTTTACCAGCTTTACATAGTTTCTTTCAGCCTTTGCTTAAGGAATAATTAAAAACAGTCACTGTCACAGTACCTTTAAGATAGTTTGTTGAAGCCATTCAGTATCTTTTCCGTTTTCCTTCGCACAGTGTAATGCTTCTTTCTGCCTTTTCTCCCTAGACATTTTGTGTACGATCATGTGTTTGCTGAGAAGATCACCTCCTTGCACAGTCAGCAAAGCCCTGACAAAGAAGAGAACGAGCACCTGAAGAAAACAGTGTCGATGCTGCAGGCCCAGCTGAACCTGGAGCGGCAGAAGCGGCTGACTCTGGACGAAGAGTACGGGCTCGTGCTCAGGGAGAACAGCGAGCTGGAGCAGCAGCTGGGGGCCATGGATGCCTACCGGGCACGGGCGCTGGAGCTGGAGGCGGAGGTGGCCGAGATGCGCCAGATGCTGCAGGCTGAGCATCCCTTTGTGAATGGGGTCGAGAAGCTGGTTCCTGATACGCTCTTTGTCCCTTTCAAAGAGCCCAGCCAGAGCCTGCTGGAGGAGCTGTTCCCGGTGGTGCCAGAGGCCCCTCGAAAGCCCCTGAAGCGCAGCAGCAGTGAGACAGTGCTGAGCAGCCTGGCTGGGGGCGACATCGTGAAGGGCCACGAGGAGACCTGCATCCGGAGGGCCAAGGCTGTGAAGCAGAGGGGCATCTCCCTGCTGCATGAAGTGGACACTCAGTACAGTGCCCTCAAAGTCAAGTACGAAGAACTGCTGAAGAAGTGCCAGGAGGAGCAGGACTCGCTGTCACACAAGGCTGTGCAGACCTCCCGGGCTCCAGCCAAGGACCTGACCCCAGTGAAGGCCCAGCCTGAGCCCGGCTCTGGGAGCTGGGAGCCGGCGTCACTTCCCCTGGAACCCGTCGGCTCCCCCACCGCCACCACACCGCCAGAGTATAAAGCGCTTTTTAAAGAGATCTTTAGTTGCATCAATAAAACCAAACAGGAAATAGATGAACAGAGAACAAAACGCCAGGCACTCTCCTCTCACTCTTAACTGAACCAACAGCTCTCCTGCTAATTTGTCTGTTTCCTGTCACTTCTCTCTTCCATAAGTGTCTGTAGAATTACAACCTGCATTACCTCCTTGCTTTGCTTATTTAGCAAATGTATACTTTGTGCAAAGGAGGTTGGCTGCTGGCGTGGGTCCCACAGCCCAGTTCCCTTTAAGCTCTGCAGGAAATCTCATGATGCGCTGACCAGACTTCGACGCCTGGAAAAAGCCCAGGAAGGAAGATCCACATCCTGGGGCAGTAAGGCCGTAGTAACTGTTAGGAGTATTGAGTTGACCTGACCCCACCGGACTGACTTTTGGGATTTCCTGGGCTGAAATTTTTACAGGAGATCACTAGGCCTCTTTTCTAAACCCCAGGGAGCCCTTCATGAATTTGAACTACTGACCTTAGCAACTTAACATCTGTTATGCTGTCAAGGTTCCTATAAAACTATTGTGTAGACTGCACACAAAACCCACTACTGTCAGTGAAGACTCAGGATGACCCTCTTTCAGGTTTCTGAGGCTGTAGGTCTTAATGGAAAGAGACTTCATCTTTTTCCCCTGGAGTTGCTGGTAGATTTGAACTGCTGACTGTGAGCTTAGCAGCCCAATGCCTCTCTGCTTAATTTCTCAAAAGTTATGTGAAAGTAGGGAGTGGGCTACCAAGCTGAAATATCTTAAACACTGTTAAATACTGTGAATTCATTAAAGAGACTGTTCTGGAGAAAGCAGGGGTCTAATCCAAAGCAAATAGCATTAACAAATACCCTAAACCCTTGGGTTTTGTTACAGTGCTACCAGTTACCCTATGATGATCCGCAGTATATCGGAACTGAATACCAGACAGGAAGGGTGAGCTTTGTTTTGATAAAAATGAACTTGTCAGTGTGCATCCTAGGGCCTCCACCCCTAAATTCAAATATTTTCACTCAAGCATTTTACTCAGTCTATCTATCTGACATTTAGGATAGATAAGTATGTAAATCTTTAATTCCTTTTTCAAATTTAAACTGACGAGGACAGATAAAGCTCTAATATCATGAGCTGGCTAATCTGTCAGCCCCATGCCGCCCTTGCCCAGTTCCTATCATCCTGGAAATGTTTTTGACTTACTGCAGAAATTGCCATTTGCTGCATCGTTAAACAGTATTTTATGTTTGTTATGTTTATGTATGTTATGACTTTAGAATATATTCATCCTCTCACTTGCATATTTTTAATTTAAAACTATTTAAGAACTGAGTTCTGGATTGTTGTATATATTTTTCTAAAGACCAAATAAAAGTAGTTATGAAAATGAACAAATAGATCCAGTACTTATTTTAAGCCTAAGCATTTTACTATTAAAAATAAATAACTTTTTAAAAATTACATTTACTTTTAAATATCTCTAGGAAGGCTTGTTGGTTTTGGGGTGGGTTTTTTTTACCCCTTTTTTACAAACAGATCCATGGGATTGTGTAATTGAGCACCAGCTTTGTTCAAGTTTACAGATAGAAAATACATAAAACAGGTTAAAATTTATCTTCTTTAAAACATTTTTAAAATGTGTTCATTAAAATTATTTCATTAAAAAAGGACCTTCAAATTACTCTATTTTTTCATGGTTTCACTGAGGGAGCTCTGGTGGCCTAGTGGCAAGAAGCTGCACTGCAATCCCAGAGGTATGGGGTTCGAATCCACCAGATGCTCTGCTGAAGAAGGCGGGGCAATCTCCTCCTGTACCAATCAGATTCAATTTGACAGTACGCACATACAAAATAATAACAAAATTTTTTAAAAGAAGTTCAACATTGAAGGAAAATTCACCTTACTCAGATATCTAAATGAGCATTAACTAAAGTAGTTTTGCTTTTGAATTAAAGTTTTTAAAAAATTATAAACTTTATAAATATAAAATTTATAAGTCTTTTATATTTCCTGACTTCCAAGCCCAATTCCCCAGAACCAGCCAGTTACAATTTTTTAAAAAAAATAATACTCTATATTTTAGCACACAAGTGTATTTATTACCCCATATATTGAGAGACTAAAACTGAATGAGACTTTTAAGGCAAGAAAACAGCATACTGTTGCCCCTCTGCCACAAAAACAGCACCAAACCAATAAAAACCAAAAAGGAAAAATGACCAGCAGAACACAGTATGTTCAATGGCATAGCACCACGATTTCAAGCAGTTTATTTGCAATGGAAACCAGGTCAGTGGAAGTACAAATACGACTGACAAGAAAGATGTGATATTGCTCCTTGTTGTCCATTCCCCTCTGGTTGTGACTTTCCCACTACCAACAATCCAGAGATGGAGTCCCCCAGCTTTCCTCAGAGCTGCCTAACAGCCATCTTGTATTTGGCTTTGAGTGCTTATATGGCTTTAAATCACAACCTTCCTCTACACACTGGTGTCCGTTCACAAAGAGAACTAAAATGTGTACAAGGAGGCACCAGATAATCACTATCCAGTCTGAAAAAGACCTAGATCAAAAAAGGACAACTTCTTCAACAAATGTGCTGGCAAAGCTGCAACAAGATCCACATCTCATACCATACACAAGAAAAAACTCACGGTGGATCAGAGACCTGGGAATAAAGCCCAGAACCATAAAGTTCTTCAGAGACAAACTGGGATCAAGCTTAGATGGCCCAATCAATGGTATAAAGAGACTGCCAAATAAAGCCAGAAATGCACACTCTGGAGAGGATAAAATTGGTGAATGGACCCTCCTAAAGAGTAAATACCTGTGTGCATCAAAAACATTTTCCAAAAGAGTGAAAAGAAAACCTACTGACTGGGTAAAAACAGTTGGCAATAATATCATTTCAGGTAATGGTCTCATATCAAAAAATTTACAGAATCCTACAGGGTCTCCACAAGAAAAAGACTGATAACCCAATTATAAAATGGGCAAAAGACATGGAAGACTTCACAGACATTTGAATAGCTAACACACATGAAGAAATGCTCAAAATCACTAGCAATAAGCAATGCAAATCAAAACCAAAATGAGATGCCATCTCACCCCAGTAGCAGTGACAAAGTTTAACAAGACAGCAAGTAAAAACTGTTGGAGAGGATGTGGAGAGATAGGAACTCTTTATACACTGTTGGTGAGATTATAAAATGATACAACCACTCTGGAAGGCAATTTGGCTTTTCATCAAAAAGCTGAGATAGAAATTCCGTATGACCCAACTATTCCACTGCTTGGAATATACAGTGAGAAAATGAGAACTGAGGCACAAATGGGGATTTGTACACCAGTGTTCATAGCAGCATTATTCATCATGGCAAGAACATGGAATTAGTGCAAATGTCCAGCCACAAATGAATGGATTGAGAAATTACCGTGCATTCACATGATGGAATATTACGCAGCACGCAGGAGCAAACATTTTAAAAATCATTACATAACTTAGGAGGGATTGAAAAGCGTTATGCTGAGTGAACAAAGTCCCATAAGGACAAATACTGTATAAGACTATTATTGTAGAAATAGAAATATAACTAGTAAAACGTGTATGAGGATCCAGGGGTGGGAGCAGAGGGATGAGGACGGGCGAAGGGGTTCATCATAGGGTCACACAATTTGATGGGTGGAGGGAGGGGTGGGTAATGGAAATGGGAGAGATCCAGTGTGAAGAAAAATGTATATGAACTTTGCAAGTAAAATAAAAGAAATAATAATAAATAAA